GTTAAATTGTAAAATGTTATAAAATTTTGATTTTTACCCAACAATTTGAATACTTAAGGTAAAAACTCAACACAAATTCATAAACATGCAGGAGTATGTTATTTTATAAAAATTGGTCTAAAGAGTTTAGACAGTACTTCCCTCGCTGTCGGAAACTTGACGACAACATGCCTATTGTGTTTTTTTTCTCATTACATTTTTGTAGTGGGAATTTAAAAAAAAATTGCGATGACGTCATCAACATTTTTGCAAGGACACGTATATCAGTTGGGATAGATGTAGTGTAATACTAAGAATAAAATTATTATATTCTCAAATTTTCGGGAAAATGAATTGGGTCGTTTGAATATTGATTTGTAATAATCAATAAAATAACCAGTGGCGGCTGGTGGGTCAAAATTTCGGGTCGGCCAAATATTTTGAGTCTACACCTTGGTGTTATATATTTTCGTAATGTATGGCTGCTACTCATTAACCACTGACATTTTACGTGCCAGGATGTACAAAACATCTCAAATGTTTCGACCTGTTAAAATAATTTTTTATAGGAAATTGACAATGTCAGTTTGATTCCAAATACTATTAATCCTTAATTCTACTTGTTCTGCTTTATCATTAATTGAGAACCACCGAAAACATTATTTTTACTGAGTTCCGCGTCGACCGGCGGCTATACGGCTTGCCGACCCCGGACATCCACAATTAAATAATAATAATTAAATAATGACATGCAGTTAAAAAATATAAAAAAAAGTAATAATAAAAGTACCAACTCTTAACTATCTTCATTTACATTTATTTTTATTATTTATGTACAATTTTGAAGTGACGTCATCGCTTTAGTGGTGGGGATGATTCGACAAATTTTGGTTAGCGTTTTACCATCTACATGATATTCTTAATATAAGTACAAAATTTCACAACAATCGGTCGAGTACTTTCGGAGATTATCTGTCTAATAAAAATCCGTGACAACAGACGGACAGACGGACGGACAGACGGACAGACGGACAGACAGACGGAAATGGGAGACCTATTTCTTCGTCTTCTAGGGGTCATGAAAGATCGAGAAAACGTAAAAGTAGAGAGTCGGCCGACGGACTCGATTACAATACTTCCTTTGCTTACGCTCGGGAAGTAAAAATTAAGGAACATTTATTTATTCGGCAAACTTGCAAGATGACGTCATAGATTTTTGGAAAGGCCATAAATGAGTAAATTTTGATTGACCATTTACCATGTTTCATCTTATCTTCAAACGTTTTTGAAGATTAGTTATACAATTTTCACTTTTTTACCAAAAATCTGTTTATGGTAAAAACTCACCACGGATTCATAAATCACATTATGCAGAATTACGTTCTTCTATACATAAAATTTAAAGAACATTTATTCACAAAAATTGTAAAATGACGTAATCATCGGCGATGAGGGGGCATTAATGAAAAAATGTTGTTTAACGATTTACCATGCTTACAATAACTTTAAAACGTTTGCGAGATTTCGAAACATTCACTTTTGCAAAATGTAATTTGTAGAATGTTTTTTTTTTAATTTGGGTTTACTATTGTAAATTTTGGAGATGATGTCATCCCATTAATAGTGCGGATCATTAACCAATTTTGGTTAGCGTTTTACCATCTGTACGATATTTCTAAGATAATTATAATATTTGACAACAATCGGTCCAGTAGTTTCGGAGATAATCTGTCGAATAAAAATTGACACAGAAACACAGATGGAAAAATGGGACCTACTTTTTCGTACTCTATGTTCAATGTATATACCACTTCATTAACATGAAATAATTGATAAAAAGCACAAAAATGTTTTTTTATTTATCTGAAAGTTTACTTTACTATTAAATTAAACAAAAAAAAACACTGTACAAAGTTCAATATTTATTACTTTTAATGCGTTTTTTGCTATTGTAAAATAATACTTTCTTAGAGCATTTTCTGCGCTTTGCTTTATCGACACGTTTTTACGTAAGTAATGAACCATCTCTTTTTAGGGCTCATTAATTAATTTAATTTATTATGTTTTTCTGAATAATCTAATAAAACATTGTACCAAATTTTACGTAAAGTTGCACTAACGGACAAGTCAGAAAATTAATTATTTTTTTAAGAAAAATTGCAAAAATTTACGAACATTACATGGTGAAGCATTTTTTTTTTTTCAATAAAAACTACAAAATCTGAAAAATAAAAAAGTTAAATGGTATTTCTACAATATACTTTTTTCCGTTACTATACATGAAAACGAGGACCTATATTTTCATACATTTGTGGTCATGAAACGTCGAGGAAACATCAAAATAACCAGTCGCCCGATGGACTCGATTTCAATATTTCCCTAGCTTAGGCCGGGAAAAGAAAAAAAGAGACTAAATACAATTAAGAACATGCATCAAGAAAATAAACTGCTGATGGAAAAGCTTATGAAAAGCATAAAATTGTTTATTTTGTTATACAATATTATTCAGCATCGTAAAAATTGGTGTTTATGAAAGTTTCTTTAAAATTTTATTTTATACAAGAATTAAAATATTCTTTGGTTATTCCACAGGTGATTAACAACTATTTCTCGTATGTTATTTTCATCCTCATGATCATTACCATAAGCCACGTCATTCTTATTCCAACATTCCTGAATTTTGCACCAACACCTTCACTATTAAATAAGTAAATATTACATAGAACATAACATGTACAACAGTACTCATGTATTGTAGGTCTTTCATCTTAAGCGATGTTTAATAATCTGAATCTTCCTTTATGCGGGGCAAACAAATTTGGAAATCTTTGACAAATAAGTAGTATAGTGAGTTTGTTATGGGATTAAATGAGTATCATTACAAAATAAATGGAAAAGCCATTCTCTGCAAGGATAAACCTCTATTGTCAATTATATAGTAGTGTGATTAACACTGTTTTGCGCATGAATAAAAGCCAGATATGCGCACAATCCACGCATCGTGAATTGTTCCAGCCCACCTAACATCCACATTTGAAAACATCATATTTGACACACATATTTCTTAAAGAACTTTTTTTTCCTAAAGTAATCAATTTATTATCAAAATAGCACTAGTACACTTGATTAATAACTCATTTTCTAAATGCATTTGAAATACCAGATTTTTGGTAAGCCGTAAACCATTTTATAAATAACTTGAACGAACGTTAGTAATGCTTTTTCTTCTCGTCTTAATAATTAAACTCACTCACATTGCCAAACCATATACTCCAAACATATTTACGATTAAATGAAATTTGCAAACACAATAACTTCTCAATTACAACTCCTTTTGATTTTTGACATCTCCCCTGTTGTTTTTTAGGTTATACTTCTAAGTTCTCCACTCGGAAAAATATATTAACAGTTCACGATTGGTTCAAATTCGAGCAGTCTACGAAAATCTGACAGTTTAGTTGGCAGTACTGTGATTTGTCATAATAAATTTATTTTAGTTTATAATTAATAACAACCGAACATTGCTGAGTGAAGTATATAAGCTAAATCAATGGCAGAACTGATAACAAGAGAATATTTAAATTAAATAAAAATGCTATGTCATATTAGTGGACCTGGCGCTAACCTAACAAAAAAAAATATACTGGCCTACTGAGTGTTTAAAGCAATCCTGAATGCCATAATCACAGTTTTACTGCGATAAAACGCACTCAAACCGTGCACAGAAACCGTGCAAATTAAATATGGATTCTTCACATCTCAACTGTTAGATCAGTCACTATTTCATTGTCAGTAAGGTAAAATGAGTGAATAAGTGTAAAGACGTATTAAACTACACATTTTAGAGTTAATAAATAAAATTCCAGTATGTCTTCATTTTCGCTTATAAAGCAGTATTTACAATTTTTTCACAGTAATATTTAATAATTTATCAACGAAATTTTTAAGGTAAAAATGTTCAGTTTAAGTGTAATAGCTACAGTTAATTCGTTTTATTTTATATTGTAAAATTTGTAGTGTCTGCTACGGGTCTAAATCTTTCAATGTCACTTAAACGTCATGATGATTGATGTAACAAGTATACAGAATCCAACCTTCGTTTCCGTTGTTTCTCACAGCGTTGTATATTTTGATGACAATTTTCCAGAAAATACAATTTTCCAACAGTTTTTATTGCTTCTCAGGAAAAGCAAAAGACGTATTTCTTATTTACAATTTTCGTAAACAATAAAAAAAATTGCCTTTTTACGTGTGGGTATATTTTTCAGTAGTATAAGATTTTCATCAAATAAATAGTTAAATAATAATAGAATTAAATATATTATAAGCCTACGTGATCAACTGAACATAGCAAATAGAAACAGAGCTCTAGCTGTTGTTTTACTTTCATTCAAATGTTATTTAAGTGTAAATGTGCGATGAAAATATTACAAGATATAGATTTAGTAGGAGTGACAATTCATTACAGTTTGCAAATAATATAAATAACAATTATCTTGAAAAAGCATGAAAAATAATACATTATAGATATCTACAGATTACAACCAGGAGTTTACTTTACCATATGTAAGAAAGTTTCTTAATGGATTAACAGTTAAAGTTAAGGTCTTAAATACCCATAACATGTCAAAAAGAATCATACATTACCAATTTTCCCATTAGGAAAATCATTGTGGACACTATTGTCAACTAATATATTGAAATTATTAGTTAAACACTACATTTTGATAACTACTTAATTGTAACTAATACTTTTAACATGTATTTAAATGTTTCTATTTACTGAATGTCAAAGAGCTGAAACAGCATTTGCATGCCACGATACTGAATTTTTCTTGCATTAATCAATACTTTTATCTATATTCAACTACAACATTAAGAGCAAATGACCACCGCACTTCAAAACTAACACAAATTGCCTTCATTTAGCCCCAAAGTCACTCCAACAACTTCCCATAAATCCCCACACATCAAACTCTCCACTCGCCCCACAACTTAACCTAAAAACTAAACACACTTACTAAAGAGTGTCCGGGGGTCCAATAATTAACACTTCCCATCTGTAAATGTCATTATCGTCGATTAGCCCAGCAGAAAATCCCTCCACGGGGTTTTTATTTAATTCTGGAAACGAACCAAAACTCCATTATTAAAATAACACAATCTTAAGGTCATCGGTCTTGAGCGACACAAAGGCACTCGCGAGCACCCAAAATCGCCCCAAACACCCAAAAAATCGATCATTGCCCCCAGATCGCACAATAACCCCAAAAATCGAGCTCTCAGATCAAAAAAAGGCAATTTTCGCATCGAGAAACGTCATTTTTTTTGACAGGTGGGGTGGGAAATCGCCTTTTCGTGGACTGCTGGACGCTTCGCTGGGTCCCATGGGTTCACGCGGCTTGATCGCCCCAAACGGACCGTCTCTTCGGTGATGGGTCGTTCCAGGTGCCCCTTCCGGAAGAAGGTGGCCGTTTCGAAGTTGGAATCGAGTGAGCTGGTGCTTGGGGGGCACTTTTTGGCGGATGAGCGACTTTTTGGGCACTTTTATGTCGACTGGGAAATATCGGTTTTCTTTGTGGTGTGATGGGTCGAAATGGGTGGATGACGCGGATTTTGTTCACTTACCTGCTAGCTGTTTTCTCAATAGAAGGGCTGACTGTGGTTCTGACATTAATTACAAATTTAATTTTGATCTAAATTACCAAACAAACACTGTTTTCAGGGAAAAGATGGCCGGTGTTACTAGCAAATTGGACCGCATTGGATCATTTGAGTCACCTAAAACATATGTTATAGACGTGACGGTGCTGGTCTCGGACGGAGAAATGGTGAAGTTAAGTAAAAAGAGCGCGAAACTCGATTTTAAGGATTTTGACGTGACGCTGTTTCGAGAATGACGCTGTTACAAGAATGACGCTGATCAAAGATAGACTTGATGGTTTTCAGCTATTTGTGTGGTCTTATATTCAGTGAACGTTGTAAAGACGTTCAAATACTGCGTTACATTCACCTTCCCTATACCTGTTCTGTATGGTTATGCGCTCTCTGCGCCATCTATGCTGAGTTCTTTTTATTTTTGGTGAAATTAAAACTATTTTCCAGTAGGACCCATGGGGGAAAGAAAGAAAGAATATAATATTAATTAATGATTATATTCATTCGCACATGAGTAATACAGATAATGATACACAAATTTTGTTTTAATTTCAACGGACAGTTATATAATCTTAAAACTGAGTTAGCTTTGAATTAATATGTGTGAAAGATATAGTATTTGCCAAAATTAAAAAAACTAGGAACACTGCATTGTGCCTTGAAAATACAACTCACAACACCGAAAAATTATTATTAAATCTGAAGTTTGACATGCGGGGAAAACAAAGATAGGTTATAACTAAGGAAGGGGTTTAATTAGTTTTAATGTTTCAAAACGTTTTAAAGAGAGATAGTAAACTCCAATTCTACAAACTTTAAAATAATTGACCTGTAATTTGTTTGTCCTTGCGAGTTTCGCACTGTGGTTTCGTGATACCAACTCTCATGTTCGTTGAGTTTCAACCAGAGATATAGAGATAGAGAAGGTTTCAACCCTGGTTTCAACAGTATAATATGAAAATCACCATTGGAGTTTTTTTTTGTTCTTTTTGTAACTAAAAGCCCGTTTAACACGATGCAATATTTAGTACAAGATTTAGGACAAGAAATTTTGTACCAAATATCTTGCACACCAAATTGTTGGTTAAATTTTCTGTATGGCAATATCTTGTCCCTGTGCAAGCGCTGTAGAAAGCTCACGCAGTCGTTTCCAAAGATTTGTGAAAAGAAGATTTCTTTCTTTCACGTGCGAGGTCATGAAAAGATAAATTCTCCACCAAGTTCGAGTTAGCAATATAAGAACAATGAAAACTCAAAATGTACGGTTAGCGGCATCGATTAATAACTGTTGCTAGTCTAAGTCTATGCCAGACAGGATTTGAAAAGTACGTCAAAACAAAGAGTGCTTTCTCATAGGTACATTTTCTATTTTATATAAATACAGTTTATAACTATTTTTATTTATATAAATGTATTATATTTGAAGAAATATATGTAGAAGAAATAATTAAAGTGAAACAGAAAATGTAAGCGAAAGCGAAGTCATATTTTTAGAAGTGGAAAATCATAGTTGTGGTGAACGAATTGGAATCAAATTTTCGCGCTGAAGTTAATTAACAGCAGCGCGAAATCACATTTGAATAATTTGAATTTGAAAAAAAAATCAATAAAAAAAATCGTTAAACATAACCAACCATGTACATCTTAGGGCTTGGGAGTAGTTGGTAGCCCGCTAGGGGATTTTTAGTGAGAGGGCAGTAATAGTAGACATAGACAAGATAGCGGCATGGCGAGAGCATGGTGAAACCGTCATTATTGTTTGGTTCGGTGTGGTGAAAAAGACGCTGTAAGTTAGCTAGGTTAAATTAGTTGGCTTGGTAGTTAATAAAAGGGAGGAGGCCTTTGTTTAAAGACAATTAATTGTAACGGCTACGTCACAGTTTTCCCCAATACGCGCAGCTGATTCTTGCGGCTTTTTAAAACATGTGAATTTCTGAACGACGCCAACCCGTGCAAATTTATTTTTTTTTATTTTTTTTTTTTTTTATTTTATTGGTTAACGTTACCCAATAGGCCGGAGGCCCAATTACAGGGTAACGGGGGACATACACAACACCCAGAGCAGGGCGGGAATCGAACCCACGACCCAAGGTGTGGCAGGCAAGCGCGATGCTACCTAACCCACCCGGGTCCTCTCATTTGTTTGTTTATTTGTGAATTCGCCGATCAGGTTAGGGTTTTAATCGTTAACGGGTTCTAACACAATTTAACAGATATTAGATTTGTTTATACAGACATTTCGTAGGAGATTTCATGAAATTCACTGAGTCAAGACTCGTTTGATTTTGTTTGTCTAATTATGTATAAGGTTTCTGGATGTATATACGTAAGTGTTACATTATAACACTTCTTAATTTCTCACACAAGATCGCTAGTAGTTCATTAACGGCAGTTAAATTAACAAAATTTATAGTACCGTGAACTAGGGGGGGAGGTTAAAATAATTTCTTAATTCCTTCCCTTAAGCAATCATCATCGTTATCATCATTACATTACCGAGACATATTTTCTCTCAACGTTAAAGATTGATTACATCACCGAGGCATTTCCTCGCAAGTTTAAAAATTACACCACCTCGCAACGCTGATTGGAGATTTTGTGTTTATTTATCATGTGTTTTGTTTGGGGTAAGCAGTTCACGATATTATAAACTCTCAAAGCTAATTGTTTTTAAATAAGTAACCAATCACTTGGATCAAGACATAATTTAACATAATCTAAACTCTTTGTTTGAATCTTTGTTAAAGTGTAGCAAATATTAATCTCCTGTAAATTTTGTTAGCCTTCCAATTTTCCACTTCATACAATATTTCTCTATTTCACAATTTTAACCTCAGTCATTTTCTTTGTTGTATAATTTTAATTGAACGTAAACTTTCATGCTCTGTAGTTTCTAACCTCACGCAATATTTTATCTGCACAAGTTTATTTCACACCAGATCTTTTCTTTTTATAAATCTTTGCTAGTGTTTTTTATGTAAATATTTTGTTTATGAATGTTTCCACCACATAAATTATCTGATTTCCAAACTTAATCTCAAATAAGAATTATTTGTTGTTTAAAATTTCATCAGATTGTATGGCGAATTTAAATGTTGTTTACTGCCCTTTTTGAAACTTTAACACTTGTTCAGTTGTCGTTAATATCAGAGTCATTAGAAATTGAACATTTAAAATCGAATTGAGATAAATAACACAGAAAAACGTGTCAGAAGCGGAGTGCGCGGTTCCTAATCGAGATGCTGGAATTTATCGCGCCATCTGCACAAAAGATGCAGGTTATAATAGAATTCAGTGGCGGTCGAGATGACGTAACGCTGTCGGCTTCTACCCTATAGCCGGGACCCAACTGCGAGTTTGCGACCGTAACGGCTTACACGTCCGGCTTGTCCATAATAGAGAATTGCTTTGCGGTAGGCCTGCGATAAATTGAATCACCGTCGTGGGGGAGAACAGCCACGACCGGAGCCCCAAAGTCCGTTTGTGCTAGAACGCCCCTATGGGTATTTTTGCTGTGCTCTTGGTGACTGCCATAATTTTAAATTTGCCGCCACACGCCCGTAATAATTTGTGTATTTGCATCCAGTTACTTTAATTCAGATTTTTATTTGTTTTTAATAAATTTGTGATATTCAAATATTTGCATTGATTCGGAACGTTTAATTTGATTTCATTTAAAACTCATTCAGGTTTTTTTTAGCTCAAAAGCGATTGCGATTCGGTCCCCTCTGGGGAGCCTAAGGACAAGTCACGAGTCACTCGCACGCAGCTTTTTTTTTTCTTTTTTTGTCAGTGGAGGAATAAATAATTTTGTGTCCTCCATAAATTTTGTGTTTTATTTAGCGGTAGTTTTCCAACTTTGGAGTCCACAATTTGCATCTGAACGCATCCCGTCAATTTTAAAAAACACAACGTAGGATCCCATTTTGTTAGACGATCACAGCAAGACCAAATTTTGGATTTTTAAATTTTTCGCTTGCTTTCATTTTATGTTATTTCTAAGCACCCAAATGCGGGCATAAATTGGGCTTTATGGCACAAATCAAAATCAGTAAAAAATTGCTAAGCGACGATTGATTATTAATTTACATTAGTTAATTACACTAGTTTACAAATTTAAACTTTTTTTCGTATCCAAAAATAAAAAAAATATTTTTTGCTTCTAAATTGCCTACTGATAACAAATCCAAAAACGGATTATCCTTATCACGTCAGGTTTTTTCATAAATCAAAAATAATGAACTTTGCTCTTACCTCCACGTTAGTGTCAAACTGATTCATATTAATACACCATTGTCACATAAAAAATGTCTTCGAGATCGTGCAAAGTAAGTGCAAATCATTTTTGTTACGTTTATGGTAAAATTATAGTACCTAAAGCAAGACCTGTTCAAATATGCTTAAAAAGAAGGTATCAAGGATTTTGGGACGAAAATGTGTTACTGTTGGTCTATTATAAGGGAAACTGTTAGTACTGTCAATAAAAGAAAAGCTACTGTTTATAATTTTTAATTTTCAGTCATAATGTTTATAATATATACTGGGTGTTGCTTTTATTTGATACAACCCCTGTAACTTCTTTATTCTTGAAGATAAACCTGTATTTCTTTGAGCAAATTTGTATCATTTTAAAAGATCTTTGTGAAGCCAACCTCACATTTTTATTATCACCTCCCGTAGAAAAATCAAAAGCAACCAATTATTCTAAAATCAATACTTGAAAAATTTTAAATAAAACATTGATGACAATCTAGTAGCTTGAAAAATTGACACTCATGTTATTTATTTACGAAAATGATCTTTTAAAATGATATAAATTTGCTCAAAGACCTATATGTTCATATATATTTAAAAATAAAAAACGTTACAAGAGTTGTATAAAAGAAAATAAATACGGGGTATGTTTATATAAATATCTCAAAAACCTGACGTGATAGATTTTTTCTGCTTTCAGATTTGAATTTCCCGAACCCAAGTCCTTTAGATTCAGCTATTTTTGTCTTTGGATATAAAACCTTGTAAACTAGTGTTATTCAAACAAACTTCGATATTCAACATTTTTATTAAAGTTAGGAAAGTCATATTTCGTCAAATCATTCCTTGGCCGACTTCAAATTCGTCTAAAATTTCTTTTGAAGAAACGTATTCAGCTTCTTCACTTTGCATTTTGAAAATCGAATTATTTAACAAATAAACAAGGTGGTATCCATGACGACATCAAAATAATAGATATCTATGTATTAAAGTTCGCATCGGCACAATTCACACAATCTTGCCGGAAATACTCAACATTTCGTTAAAAATATTTTAGAAACTCAAATACATAGAAAATAACGTTGTATGTACCATGGGCATAATTGTCGATTGTTGCCCTCGGAAAATTGGAAGCCCTCCTTCGTCGGGCTTTAAACATTCTCTCGTGCCATAATGTCCCTAATTATGCTCTTAATATAGTCTTTGCCATTTCTATTGAAACACCACCTGTTGATTTTGCCTAAAATTTAGCAATTGCTAACAGTTTTCGATTGATTGATAACGGCTTTTAGTTAGAAAATTGTTTGAATATGAACGTTGCCAAATTTACGATCAACAAGTGGTGTTTCAATAGAAATGGCAAACACTATACGTAATAAATAACGAATTGTGATATGTTTGCTCCCTTGTGGAAATTTTTAGATATTAGACTATTTTGCTATGAAGCTATTTTGTCGAAGCTATACTGTAGTGAAGCTATTTTGTTGGGAGCTATTTGTCAGAGACATTTTGTCGAGGTATCATGTCACACATTAGATATTACAATGATTGAAAATGACAAATATGTCAAAAGTTAACAGTTTGGGAAAATGCCAGTAAGCTGTGCTGTACGGTGGTATTATAATCGAAACAAAAAAGTAGTGGTCAAAAAGGTATTTAATTTTATCGGCAACACCTTACTATTCCAAATAAACTTGTTAAGATCTTGTTTTTATAACTTTGAAATTGTTGAGATTTTAAATTTGGCGCGATTTTGGTACTAAGCAATATGGCGACTGCCGGTTTCAAGTTTTAGGCCACATAGCCGGTCTATACATATTTAAAGTCTCTGAGTGACATTGACATGAATACATATTCCCATTGGTTTTCATTGATCTATGAGAGCCTGATTTGCTCATCTTGCCTGAAATTTCTTGGAAACAGCTGTATTATATACTATTAAAATTAAATAAAGTACATATTTATTTCCATTACAGCCAAATTGAAGTTAGTGACTTTTGTACTGTCCAAGTTTAAATTGGCATCTGCATCGTTTTTTTTTTGAACTCGCATAAAATTACTGAATACAAAGCAAATTTTGTGTCTGAAGTCAATGCTGCATTCCTTTATACATACAAGGTTTGTATTGTAAAAGAAATCTGCCGTTTCAACCAATTTGGGACCAACTTGCTGCAAACATTTACTCTTCTGTATCCAAAGAACCTACAAATGAAGATCTTTCAACATGACACTGACAACTTCAACATTCCCGCAACTTCCAAATTATTATTTTTTTATTGACGTGTTTTTTAAGATCTGAACCATTATTTAAAATAGGTAAGTGTTTCGCTTTAATACTAGTTTTCAAATTTTTATTAAAAATAAAAATTGCATACTTATGTCCTACACATGTTCAGTATCACAATTCATGAAAATTTGACTTTTTTACTTTCATCTTCTTCTATATCTGTTTCCTCTACAGTAAATTTCCTCTTACAACTGAACCCTTCTGACAAACCCTGCAACCTCAACTCCTTTGACTGCTTCTTCAACTTCAACTTATCTTTATTTTTGGTCTTCTTTTTCCTCTTCTCTTGTTTCTTACTCACTTGTTGCTCTTCACCATCGTCTCCTTCAGCATTATTCAAATTTACAACCACCTTCCTCATTTCAACGACGTTGGAAATATTCAAACTTTTACACAGCTTATTAAACGCTAATTTCGTATCTCTGGAGAATGTTATCAGCGAACGGCAATTACGTACTCCTTCCCCTAACAACTCCCATCCTTCAAAAGTCCGCCCCAAAACCGATATTTTAACAATATACAACAAATCAAACAAATTAGCCAAAAACTTCTCTTTCGTTTTTTTTTGTGAGGAATTTGCATTAAATTCTCTAAAAAAATCAACAGAATCGCGAAGAAAGTTCAAAAAGTCATCTTCAACAGTGACGATTTCTTCAGCATGACTACTTATAAATCTTTGATTGTGAAGAAATATCTTCATTAATTCAACAGCTTGGTTTTTTCGGAAAGGCCGAATGCTTGAAGCGAAAACACATCCAAGAAGAAAAGGTACTAATACTAAGATTCCCTCCCAGTTCATCTGTAGTAAGTTCTTGAAGAGTACGTAAGGTATTATACAGTCTCTCCTAGTGAAGAAAGCTTCTAGGCCTTCTTTGATCACACAATTTATTTTCTTCGTACGCTCAGCATTCACGATCTGGGAGCACGTTATTACAAACATTGAACAATCGGCGATCTTCTCACTCATTTCTTGAATCACGATAGCATTTTTCGTTCCTTTTTGTAACAGACTCTTCAACAATTCTACCAAAACATCTTCAGTTACGTCTTCCCAGTAGCTAAACTTCTTCAAAGCAGACAACTTTTTCAAGCAAGCTTTGACGCGATCTTCCAGTGGCTTTTGGTGGTCATCCTTTATACAAAACTCCAATAGTTGCAACAGTGGCAACATAATTTCCAAAGTTAGTAACATAGAAGGATTAGTATTCAAATAGATTTCCACCAAATCGAGCACTCGAATCCTAAAATGTGTCAAAGCCTCATCATCTTTTTTCTGTTTCTTGTTCCTGCCTAAGTTGGGTTTGAACTGCTTGAAAGCTTGTCCTAAAGCCTCGTTCAACTTGTCACCTTCTTCATCATCTAGGTCATTTAGATCTACGCTTTCGGCGTCGCTCTGAGCATCGGCTCCCAGAACTTGGTGAAGAGCTATTCGGAGTTTGTCGTTGACAGTGTGGTCTTCCTCTTCGTCATTTATATCTTCATCCGAGGAAGAATCGTCTTCTTCCTCTTCCTCTTCGACGTCTGTACTATCTTCGTCGCTTTCCTGTTGGGGTTTCGATAACGGATTGTCTTCATTCTTCGGATCGAGAACTGATAGAATCTGGTGGATCGCGCTACCGTTCATGTATTTACACAGATGCGGAAAAACGCAGTTGATCACACTTCTGAGTAGGTGAGAGTTGTGGCTGAGTAGATTTAGAAACAGATCGACAACGACTTCAATCCACAGAGGATCGTCGCTTTCTTCGTTCTTCTTTTTCGTTCTTTCGTAGCAAGTGAAAAGTTCGGTTAAAGAATCGGTCGCAAGTTTTGTGTCATTGAAGATTTGAAGACCTAGATTTAAAAACAGTGTGTGAAAAACTGCTTTCTTCTTCTTCGTATGTCCGTCCAATTTTGTCACTAGTTCTACCGTGCGTCTCCATGTTTCTTGGTTTTCTTCATCAAGGGGGTTCCTCAAGTCCGGAATAAGATTGTCAAATTCGTGAAGAATTGTTGATAAAATGAACCGTAAGTCGTCCAGTTTTCCCAATTTTAAGTCAAGGGCAGAGTAGAAGGTGTATTTTAAAGACTCTGCTAATTCGAGGCCGATTGCTTGGTCTTTCAAGAGCCCCAGTTTTCCCAAAAACATCAACTGCTCGATCTTCCATTCATTCTCTTCGTTTGTAGATGGGTGATTAACTAACTTTACCAACAAATGTGCGGCATACACTCGATCTGTGTTCCACCACTTCTCACTAATGTTCTCGTTGATGACTTTGTCGTGATTAGCTAAAATCACGTCTCTATAAACCATGCCCAATTTTTTGACTCCTTCACTACTCAAACTTGCAGTTATATTCTGGATTAATCTACTTCTTGTTATTTTTTCAAAAATGAAAATTCCTGGGAAAAATAAAAGTTTCTTCAGCACTTTTATTTTTGTTTTAGATTTAACGCCATCTTTTTTGAGACTCGTTAATAGCGTTTCAAAAAGTTTCTGTGTGATGTCTTTAAATTCTTTATCTTTGAATCTACCGACTGAATTCTTGTACATCGATAAGGTCTGTTGTATATAGTTTTTGGTTAAAATATTTGGAATTATTGTTGGGTCGTTTAAATTTCCCAAAATATCGGTCAAGAGTTTAGTAAAAACGAAGAACTTGTTACGATTTGGTCGGACTAAAGTTTGGTCTAGTTCAATGAAGAATTCTTCGATGAGAGACGATTCAAGTAATTTTTTTGTGAAGATGTCGAAGACCGGGTGTTTCAACGCCAGAAGTCGAGGGATTGTCTGAAATTAACATTTAATACTTTAGTGGTGTTTACGATGTTGGTGAATGGGTTTTGAGATTATTTTTGTAGAATTATTATCAACGATTCTTAATGGTTAAAAAAATTAAGGCTACACGAGACAATATTTGTTCCGAATGTACAAGAGGAGTAAAAGTTTTAGAAAAGTTCTCTTTAAATTTAATTTGCACCAACTGCATACTTTTTGTTTTTGATGTAAAAAATTTGCAAAATATCATTATGTAGAAGTATTTTTGTTCTTCAATTCGCAAAGCTACTATATAACTGCTTGCACCTTGAAAATGTAAAATAGTGGCTATTATTCTCAGGTAAGTCATGAAATTTATTTTTAAAATAATGTTGTTGGCATTGCAGTTATTTGACCATAACTGTCAAACCTAACAAAGAACGCGTTGGTGTTGCCAACATAATTATTTTTAAAATAAATTTCATGGCCTATTGCAGGACTTTTATTTCTCGATCATACGGCATTTTCATACTATTTTCAATGAGGAAGCGGGGACATTTAGTACTTTTCGTTCACATAAACTCAAATAACATAAAATGTTCCTATTTTCCAGAAAATTCTTAAAGGATAGTGCTGTATGAACCTGAAATCTTCTAGAAGTTTTCAACAACAAAAAAGTAAGTTTAAAAATAAACGCGTTACATCCAAGAATTCGCTCATTTCCTCAATAAAATTTCAGTCAAAAGCGACCATTCAATAAATTATGATAATAAGAAAAAAACTGATCTAGGGATATTTTGTTTAGACATAACTTCCCTCGCCCCTGAGCTGCAGTACAACATATGCAGTTTTTAAAAAATATATATAATTTGATTTTATGAATTTTATTTTTGACAACCTATGTAAATTAAATGATATGTGTAGTTAAAATAAAGCTAAAAAAACCGTGCGTGTATATTTCAAGTATTTCCATTGCAAAATATTGTGATGACGTCATTAACATTTTAACAAGGACACGTATATCAGTTTCAATAGGTGCAGTATGATTCAAGTTTTTGAGAAAAAGAGGTGAATCGTTCTTGATTGATCAGTAAAATAAATTGCCTCATTCATTTTTGTCAGCCTGAATAAGCAATTCTAAAAAATATGAAAGCATATAATTATAGACTCACAATATTTTCCACATTTTAGCTAGAATTAATCCAGCAAATTTTTTATAAGGGTATCATCAAAACTTGGACTGCACTTCAGAGCGTGGGAAGTTCTGTCTCAGCTATGTTAGACCAGCTTTTTCATTTTATTAAAATACAATTATGTGTATAAAATGTCAGGACTGTAGTTCTCCAAAATTTTGTTCAAATTTTATAATATATATAGTATTAATAATATAATAACAAGAAGAGTGTATCAGCTGCAAATATTTTCCATTTTTAATAGTGATAGATTTATTCGAAAATGTAAGACCTTGTGGCCCAAGTTGTGAAACAATCTTTAAATATTTTATTAAAAAAAAAGAAAATTAACTTGAGCAAAACTGACATTGACTTTTATATACCAAAAACACACATGTAGAATCCCGTTAGGCGTCACTAAACATAATTGTTACATTGTTTGAAGCATCAAAACAAATTATCAAAATACAAGCAAAAATGAACAAACCAACCTTGATTTACAAGAACCTTTAAACCTTACTTCACTGAACTACTGAACTAAATTGCACTTACAGTTAGCGTATTGCAGACATGTTGAAGACTTTCTCTACATAACACCTCAGATGTTCCTAAATTATTTCTCAAAAACTTTGAATGGAGAGACTCTGGGAAACTTCTTTCAATCTCACTCAATAAATAAAGAATATCCAAATTCTGAAGAGACCAAGGTATCGACAGCTCATCCTTAACAAGCGGGAAAACTACTTTCTCAAATTCTTTAGAATCAATCTATAAAACATTCCCATAAATAAACTTTCTCGAATACAAAAAAAAACTCACTTTTTTAAACAAATCAACTAAAAATGTAAATGAGGCTAAATTCAAATAATTTCTCTCCTTGCCAGCGGTAAGTAACAACTGAAGCACCTTCGTCTTATCCTCATCACTACAACTTTCATATAAATTGGATCGTAGTATAGCCCCCACAATCAGAATTTGTCCAGAACTAACATCCGCATTTTCCTGCAAATCACAAAGATTACACACGTTAACACAAAAAAAAAACACATAATTACGCTCTTGCTGTTACTGCCCCCCTTATGTAATTCCTTCGAAACATATTCAAGGATCTCATGGATTGTGATACTTTTGAGGTTAAATAACCCGACCAAGGCTGCAAAAAAACCAGTTTTCGCCTGAACCTTCGAAGATCCCAAACCGCGTATCAAACGTCCAAGGGCATAATTTAGTTCATTATCGACCTAAAACACTACAAAATGTATCCCCAATTACATGCGTTATAACCTCACTTTTTCTCCATTTTCGTTTTCCCAGAGATGTCGGAGTAAATTAACACCGGCTTTCACACGCACTTTTTCTTGTCCATTTGTTAATTTGGTGAAATTATCTAGGACCGACGGTTCACGTTTGTGTTTGAGGTTTTTTTCGGGATTTTCTTCATTTTCCACGTGCTGCTCGGCCGCCATGACGTAAACAGTGAACTGTCAGATGGACAGACCAATCAGAAATGTGCAGAGGTCGCGTTTGATTGGTTTTTGTAAAATATTGAGCGCGCGAGGTTTAAATTCAAAAATGTTGAGTTCTGTATGTGTTGAAGCAAAAGTAGGTGCCCTATTTTCGGGGTATCTAGTTAGTACAGTGTTTTATTTATTTTTAATGGGGTCAGAGTGAGTGAAAATGCAAGAAGCACATTTTCACTTAAAATTCATCGTTATTTAGTTGGACTTGATCCAAATCGCCTCACCTGGTGACCCATTTCTCCAGGTAATTTGAAAGGTGCTAGACGATCTGTTTATTTTTTTCTAACGAATCTTGATCTTTTTTGATCTGACCATGAATACTGTTTTTGTTTTACTTTATTTTTGGGATTTAGGTCGATTGCATGCACCTCCTCATAAATTACAAAAAAAATTAAATGATTTTTTTTAATTTGTGGTCAACCGTGTACTACGTTTTAGAGCTGTTAATCTGTATAGGGGTTTTCCCATCAAAACAAGATAATTAAAAACTCGCACCTTTGAGGACGTTTCTACGAACTAGTAAATTTTGTTGTGAGTACGATCTAAAATTAGGTTTAGTGGGAGATGAACGAACTAATGTTTTCGCACTAGACACCGAGTCTAAATGTGATGTTACCGAAGAAATTTCTGCCAGAACGACATTGGATCTCTTGATAATCACTACATGTATTATCGGTGAAAAAGATCAAAACGTGTTTGTGAAATTGTGACAGACTCTTCGGCCTCACATGTGTGAATTCTGATTTTTTTTGTTTGGGGGCGCCAAGGACGACACCATGAAGTGGTAAGTCCGTTTTAAATTTTATTTTGAATATCGTTAATCACACAAGATCAAAGGAATCTGAATATTTTTAAATGGTACCTGCAGCCTATAATTTATTATTAGCTTCTAATTTAGTAGAACCTCCAAAACCACGTTTCATATGTCATTTATTCTTTTAATTAGCGATTTGATGAAGATAATTTGTTGAAATCTGATGGCAAGATTTTCCCGGGTTGGTTTGTTTATGTTTTCTGTGAGTGAATACAGTTTTATCTTCATGGTTGGCACGAAATCTGTAAATTATCCAAGTTTTGAGAAAAACATTTCGTCAATGGTTGGAATGTAAATTTTTTATTTTGTGGAGTTCAAATGTTGTTCGAACGTTCGAAAAACGGCGATTTTGTTTACATATTTCACGCAAAAATAAAACATTGTAATAATTTTTCCGTATCCTTGGCCGTAAATTTTTTCACGGCCGAATTAATATAAAGTTGCTGTGAAATTATTTATTCAGTCTTTGATTACTCTTTGCCAATATTCAAAAATTCTGGGTTTACGTCTAGAGCTAAAAATATGCACATATTCGTTTATTTTTAAAGCGCTAGAATTATTTTTCGCATTGTATTGTTTTAAGTTGCGGTTATTTTCGATAATCGTGAAATTGCCGGGAAATCTGGACATTTAACAAATTCCGGTTCAATAGTTACCACGAGCACGAGGACTTTTTGTCGTTGTTTTCTTGTTTGAAAATGCGGAGGTTGTAAATGTCAAGACCAGATAACAAACTGTGGTTTCATTTGGCGTTTTAATTAGACAATACCCGTGGACAATACGAATGTTGACAGAACAACACACTAAAGTGTGTATTTTTAAATTTTTATTTTTTTAAAATTAATTTACTAGGAGTTTTGCGAAGTATAAGTGTAGGTTATTACGCGAAAAATAACTCCCGCATATTTTAATAGATCAAATCTACAAATTAATGTTCATCCAGTACTATTTGGCGAATGATGGTTTAAGGTTATTTAGACAGAACTTTCTTACCCTGTGATGTACAGTACTATGCCGCACAAAAAAATTTCAAACGAGAACCTTCTGCCATTTATACTGAAATTTCCAAGTGAATCCAGGCTTTCATATGAATAAAAATACAGTTTAACTTAGAAGCACATACTTAGGTAGTGTTATCTAGTTTAAAAATTTTCTAGGTTTTAGTTAATTTTCCAGTAAATGCTCCGTCCTTTATGCATAAAAAAGTATTTACTTGAAATCATAAGTAAAAACTTGTAATTTTTCAAGCTGCTTTTTAGTAACTTTCGTAATTTAACCGGCTCATATGTATAAAATTAAGTATTTATTAAAAAGTAAAAATTTTGAGTAAAAACAAATGCTTATCAGGAAAGTACTGAAAGAAGGTGTACATATTTACTGAAATTCATATGCATAATCTGACACTTTTACTACCAAGTAAATATTTCTGGTTTTTCCAGTAAATGCTTACTTGAATTTTTATAAAACTAAGTTGCCATAAATCGGACAACTACTTAGTCTGTGATAAAATATTCTGTCATGGAGAAAACAATACGCATTTGAAGTTCTTGATTTTTGAAAAAAAAAAAGTAAGAAAAATTGATTACACCATGTTAAAAAAATGATTCGTTTTGTTAAACAACCACATATGACAAATATAACAAACAGAAAAAAAGAAGCTTTAAAGAACTTTTCGTTGGCAAATTTTGAGGAATGTATACCAGGCAGCAAAACTTAAAAAAAATAAGCGACATGAAAACAGATAATAAACGAACTAGAAACAAGAAAATTGTTCTTAAGGCTTGGAAAGAATCGGTTTCTGATAAATCTGCTGCATGATATAGCAAAAAAAAAAATCCGGCTTACACAGAATTCCAGTTTTTTTCTATTAATAATGTAACTGTAGAAAGTTATTATAATTTTATCATCAGGTTCAACATTTACCAAAATCATTGAAGAAGATGAATGTTGTACCACAACCGCCGCCACCAAAGAAATAAACAAAAGTAGAGTCAGCTGAATCTCTGCCGGAAACGGAACAAACATTTTATGAACAAATGACTTACAGAGGCTCGTGCTATCAAAGCAACAACAATAAAGATGTAGAAAAATTTAATAAAGAATTCTTAAAGGACTCTATCATACCATTTACAGTTCGAATAAAATTCCAGCAATTTCATACCTACGTTGCATGCCTGGACTTTTATTATCTTTGTTATTGTTTCCGGCAATTTCCTCTTTCTGTCTTCTTCAGGTAAAATGTCAGAAAAGTTAATTTTATCATTTAAAAATTTGGAAACATGCGAAACAAAAAACACGAAACTGTTACGTTTTCGGTTTTGCATGTCTCCAAATTTTAAATGATAAAAATAACTCTTCTGACATTTTACCTGAAAAAGACAACCTAGGGACCAACTGGCTCGAATTTTATTCGCACTACAAAAAGTATGAAACTTGTGTTAACATTTTTGTTGTTAATTACTCCCCTATTTGATAGCACAAGCTTTGGTACGTCATTTGTTGATAAAAAGTTTGTTTCTTTCGTTTCTGGTAGAGATTCAGCTGACTTTTTGTTTGTTTTTTTTTAGTGGCGGTGGTGGCGGCAGTGTGGTAAGTACTACCATTCTTTAAGTATATAATATACTTAAACAAAAATATACTACATTCACCTTTTTCAATGATTCCATCAAATGCTGCACCTGATGATAATACATATTATCATAACTTTCAAAAATTACATTATTAATAACAAAAAACTGAAATTCTGTGTAATGTCAGAATTTCTCTTTGTTGCTATCATCCAACAAATTTATTGGAAACCGATTGTTTTCAAACCTTAAGAATAATTTTTTTGTTTCCCGTTCGTTTTTCGTTGCCTGGTATAGGTCGAAATTTGTCATTTATTCTTTCGAAAAGTTTTTTAAACCCTTCTATTTTTTTTTAGTAGAGTGTTATATGGTTATCAAGTATACCTTGCTTATTCTGTTCCAAAGAATCAAGAAGCTCAAACGCGTATTGTGTTCTCGATGACAGAATAATTAATTCGATAGAGAACAGTATTTGTACAATTTATGATAAATTATTATTAGTTATATAAAAATTCAAGTATATTACTGGAAAAACCAGAAGTACCTACGTATTTACTCGTACTTGGTAGTAAAAGTAAAAGTATAAGATTATGCACATCCATTTCAGTAAGTACTTCTACTTTTAGTACTTGCTAACAAGCAGATGCTTTTGCTTAAAGTTTTTTTAGTGAATATTTAATTTTTTGTACAATATCAGCCATTGTTATTCTGACTGACATTGGAAAATAAATTTGAAATTTTGGCACGAAATTTATTTGGTGAAAAATGTCAGCGGTATCGCATTTTAATGAAGCCAGAATTGTAACCCTTTGCCAAAGTGGCATGACGTATGGACAAATTTCGGCACGGTTGGGTATTTCAAAGGGTTGTACACAAGTGAACACTGACCGACTTCCAGGATGTGGAAGGCACTGAATATCTTATTGCGATGAACAAGACGAAAACCTCACCAATGTAATTCAAGGGAGTCCTTTTTCTACTGCTATTGAAGCTGCTGGAATTAGAGGAGAATATACGAAAGTAGCTTGAAAAATTAGGCCGCAACTAACAAAACTTTACTCAGACCGTATCAAAGGGGAACAAGAACATGCATTTTGGATCCGCGAAAAAGTTTGCAGTCATGCCCCAACGGTCATCTCGATATACGGTCAATAGACCAATAAACACTCGCTCTATTGAATGTTACGTTGATTTGTCTGAACCACGGTTTCCGTGAATTATGTGTATATGTGGGGGTGGATTTCGGTGGACAGCCCTGGGGTAATTCATACAACAGACCATGCAGCATGCTTTCAAGATCATAATATAAATGTCTTTGATTGGCACAGTCCCAGTCCCGATTTAAATCCGATTGAAAATATCTGGGGTTTGCTGGTGAAACGTATAAAAGCGCAAAGAGTAGTGTTTCAAAATAGGCAATAACATTTGACTGGTATTACCGAAGCATGGTAGTCACTACCAGCGGATTATCACTGAAATATGTGCCTTTCCATGCCAAGCACAAGTTATAGTCAAATAGGTACAGCAATGACAAAATATCCATTTTGTTTCTATTTGGTCTGTTTCAAACTGACT